GGAGTCGCCAGCAGTTTTCTGGGCGAAAGATGAGGCTCTCTACACCGTCATCATGATTTCCAGCCTCGGAAAACGTTATGAAGCAATTCTACTCTGCCCTCTCCAGGGTCGAGTTGAGTCTGAATCGAGATTGACATGTGACCTGCAACCGAATGCCCACCTCTGACCTGGATCAGAGATTGAGGGACTCACATTTCGTGGCTGGACCGTCATTCTCTGGTTCTCAGTGTCAAGTCCTGGGATGATCACAGTCATTTTCCTGGGTCCCCGGAACCCCAAGACGTTGGTCTCCTGGGGACATTGTGGTGCAATTGTTTTGACTTTTCCCCCCTCTCCCCTAAAAGCCAATCTCTGTTCTCTCATCCCCAACACTCACGTAACACACGGCCCCCAGCTCCTCCCTGATCGGGGCAGTATCCTGGACGAAACTCTTCCGGTCAGGGTTGATGCCTTTGTTGAAGATGATAAATTTAGTGCCCAAGATATTGGATCTGCTCCACAAGGGGAATGGAACCCCATCAAGAAAAGAATAAAAAAGAAAGAAAATAACACGGATTGTTACCGTTTGGCTGCAAGACTTGAATGTCCGTGTCAACTTTCATGAATGCTTCCTATCTACTCTCTAAGTTCCCCCCAATCAGAGGAGAAACAGACTCCATGGGGTGGAGTTCTTTGCCAGGAATCAGAGAAGCGGAGATGAAATTGCCCATCCAGTACACTCTCATGCCTACACTCTTAAAACACCACAGCAACCTCAGACTATGCACAGTTCTTCCTATCTTGAGCTACCTCCCCTACCCGTTCAGACCTCCCTGCTATAGCTTGTTCCCCAAGAAAGGAGTATCCAAGAATCCCAGGCCCTTCTATCTTCAGTGTACCATGTTTGTTTGTTTGTTTTAATTCACTTTTCTGGGCCCTTAAGGTACTTTGGTGACGTAATTGGGCCGCTAACCCCAAGGTCAGCAGTTCAAACCAACCAGCAGTTCTGAGGGAGAAAGATGAGGCTTTTTGTCCCTATAAAGGTTTACAGCCCCAGAAACCCAAAGGAGCAGTGCTGCTCTGTCCTATAGGGTCAGTCTGAGTCAGAATTGACTCAAGGGCCCTGAAGTTGACCTGGGCCCTTAAGGACCCTCTAGAACAGGGGTTCTCTACCTTCCTAATGCCAGGACCTCATGTGGTGACCCCCCAAACCACAAAATCATTTTCGTTGCTACTTCATCACTGTTATTTTGCTATGATGAATCGGGAGACCCTGTGAAAGAGGTCATTTGACTCCTAAAGGGGATTCAAACCACAGATTGAGAACCGCTGCTCTAGAATTCACATACCTCAGGTCAATTCTCCTACAGGGGGGAGGGAATTCCAACCCCTTGCCTCTCACGAAGTCAAATGTCTTAAATGCCAGCCATTGTTCCAAAGCATTTCTAGCCCCAGCTATTGGAGGAGTGGGGGGTGTGTGTGTGTGTGTGGGGTGTGGGGTGTGGGTGATGTGATGTGATGTGAAGAACTACAAAACCCATGATGCTTTAGGAGAAATGGTCCCAGAGTAGGTGGAACTTCTGCTCCGTGGCCTCTTGGGAACTGTAGTCCACTTGTATCCTTTGCCCTGCCACCCGTTTGCACGCACATCAGGACTGCCCACCTGACTTTGCCCACAAAATTGGGCCCACCACGAGACAGGTCCACGGGGTCCATCGAGATGAGGTAATTCGAAGTTCTGCTCCTCCTCCTCTTCCGCCCCGCTAAAAGGAAGTGCTGTGGGTGGGAAGAATGGCCCATTAGCACTGATATCTGGCATCTGGATGAAGTTAAGGGCTGAAACACAAGAAAACCCACATGCCCATGACAGAAGAGAGAGCGACGGGGTGGAAACCTTACTGAAGGAAGTCCTTGGGCTGATTTCTTAAGAACTCAGCATCATGGAAGGGGAGCGGGGAGGGAGGGGGAAAAATGAGGAGCTGATGCCAGGTGCTTAGGTGGAGAGCAAATGATTTGAGAATGATGAGGGCAATGAATGTACATATGTGCTTTACACAATTGATGTATGTGTGTATTGTGATAAGAGTTGTATGAGGCCCTAATAAAATAATTAAAAAAAAAAAAAGAACTTAGCATCTTAAAGCAACCCTTGCTTAGTATCACCTCACCTATTCTCTCACTATGGGTCAGGGGTCAGGCCGAGACCCCCGAGGGAGCCAAGCCTGGTGGTGATGCGCAAGGCTTGCTATAAGGAATGGCGGAAAACTTCACTAACAGCAATGAGGCAAGCAGGGTTTTGATAGGAATATCATGTGAAAGGAAAAGTAAATCCTGGATCGAGGTACCCCAAAAGCCCCTTTCTTAGAGAGATAGGGTACCCTAAAAGGAGGCACTCTGGCAGAGGGAAATGAGTCCGAACTACGATAATCTTAAATGTGGCTCAAGAAGAGGGGAGGTGTGGCCAAGGCAGGGCGTTGTCTGGCTTCCAGAGAGGCATTGCTAACCTTGTAAAATTTGAGAATGAAGGGGCGTGGCCTGGAATAGAAAGCCACCAATGAGTGATGCAGCTTGGTCGCTAAGGGGTGGGATTTATGCAGGGAGTGGGCGGGGTTCTTATAAGGGGCGGGTCTTGCGACAACAGAGGTCGAGCCTGCACCAGCACAGGGTCTGTAAGGAGTGGAGTTTGGGACCCTGAGAGGACCATTCCATATCTAGAGGGGACAAGGCTTCTTTATGAGACTGGTGTAGGGCCGATCCCACCAACTCAGCACAACGTGTGTTTGAACCGCTGATACTGGCGTTGATGGGCCCTAGTTTCAGTAACAAGTTGTCCGAGTGGCACAATGGTTAAGCACTCGGTGGGGAATCCAGGGTGGATGATCCCTTCAGGACCAGTGGTGAGAGTGGCGATACCGGGAGGGTGGAGGGAAGGTGGGTTGGAAAGGGGGAACCAATTACAAGGATCTACATATAACCTCCTCCCTGGGGGACAGACAACAGAAAAGTGGGTGAAGGGAGACGTCGGGCAGTGTAAGATATGACAAAATAATAATTCATAATTGATCAAAGATCCATGAGGGAGGGGGGAGTGGGGAGGGAGCGGGGGAAAAATGCGGAGCTGATACCAAGGGGTCAAGCGGAAAGCAAATGTTTTGAGAATGATGAAGGCAACAAATGTACAAATGTGCTTGACACAATGGATGGATGGATGGATGGATGGATGGATGGATGGATGGATGGATGGATGGATGGATGGATGGATTGTGATCCGAGTTGTATGAGCCCCCAATAAAATGATTTTTTAAAAATGATGCTTTGTACCCATGAGCAGCTTCAATGGAGAAAAGATCTAGCAACCAGCTCCCCTTACAGGTGCCAGCCTAGTAAACTTTAGGGGCACGTCTACTTTCACACCTGGGGCCGCCAGGACTTGTAACCCACTGACAGCACCCGAAAGGACAGCCCAACGCAGATGGAGTCTTGGGCTGGAGACAGATTTGTCTCTGGGAGGGGAGGCTTGCTTGCACGGCTCACCGCACCTTCCTGCCGTTGTCTGCCTCCAGGTAGAGATAGTAGAAGGGAAACATTCCCTTGTCAACACTGCTCTTGTTCTGGCTGATGCGGCATTGAACCGTGTGGCCCCGCATCACCGGCCGCAGCATGTAGGCCTCCAGATGTTCGCCCAGCCGAGGTCCGGGGGCCAGGAGGGGCAGGTTCGCGCCCCTGTCTCTGCTGCCATCCTTGTCTGCTGGGACCTGGGCCATCTCCTGCATTTCGCCTAGGAGGTCCGGCTGCGCGGCCTCCACATCCTTAACGTCCAAGTCTTCTCCCTAATACCAGGCACCACGATCCACGTTGAGGGATAACCGTGCCCCCAGGATGACAGCCACTGATTGGCCAACCCTGTTCAGGGTTCTGCTCTCCCCCACCCCCTATTCCCTGCCCATTAGTCAAGACGTTAAGGACCCCGGTGGCGTAGTGGTTTACGCGTTGGGCTGCTAACTGCAAGGTTCCCAGTTCGAAACCAACAACCTCTGTGAGGGAGAAAGACAGGAGTCTCTATTCCTGTAAAGAGTTAATGTCTCGGAAACCCACAGGGGCAGTTATACCCTGCCCTATCGGGCCATTATGAGTGGGAATCCACCGGATGGCAGAGTGTCAAGGCAGTGAGTCAAGTGGTCCCCCACTGGCAGCACTTTCTCCCACCTTGTAGGAAGCAAAACCTTCAAGTTGCCGGTCGCTATTCAGCTCCAGTAGCCCGAGAGTGGACAACAGGTACTCATTTTCACCATCTTGGGATTTATCGTCCACAGCATTGGCCCCTGGGGGTGGAAGAAGGCGGGGATTGAGCTTAGGATCTCTCCAGAGATGAGACTAGGTCGCCAGGGCTAGCTGAAGATGGCCTCTTTGCACCCCACCCCACCCCCGCGCCTCTCCCTCATACTCACCTGCCAGATTCGCCTCTCCCTCGCTGTTCCCGGGGGTCTCTCCTCCAGGTGAGGGGTCCTCTGAGGATACAAGGACATTCAGGTTTCCCTTTCCCAGGCCCCAGGAGAACTAAAACCGTAGGCTCAAGGGTACATTTGGTCTAATAATTAAGAAGCCTGTTATTGATAAAGGAGCTCTGGCGGCATAGTGGTTATGCCACTGCTAGGTTCTCAGTTTGGAAACCATCAGCTGCTTCTCCCAGAAACCCACAGGGACAATTCTCTCTCGCTCCATAGAGCAGTGGTTCTCAACCTTCCTAATGCCGCGACCCTTTCAGGCAGTTCCTCATGTGGTGGTGACCCCCAACCATGAAACTATTTTGCTACTGTCATGAATCATCATGTAAATATCTGATATGCAGGATGTATTTTCATGGTTAAAAATGGAACATAATTAAACAATTAAAGCATAGTGATTCATCACAAACAATATGTAATTATATAGTGCGAAATATTTGTGTTTTCCGAGAGTCTTAGGTGGATCCCTGTGAAAGGGTCGTTTGACACCCCACCCCAAACTCCCCAAAAGGGGTCGCGACCCACAGGTTGAGAACCGCTGCCCTACAGGGTGGCTCTCGGTCGAAACTGAATCGGTGGCAGTAAGTTCGGGTAAAGCAGCCTCGGCGGCGCTGTCGAATAAGCATTAGACCGCTAACCACAAGGTTAGTGGTACAAGCCCACTCTGAGGGAGAAAGTTGAGGCTGTCTGCCCCTGTGGAGATTGACAGCCTCTGACACCCTATAGAGGATTGCTAGGATCGCCTCCATGGTAGTGGATTTTGAGGTCATTGATATGGTTGGCCACGGCATAAGAATTAAAAGGAACATTGCTAAATAGAGCAGGATTCGGCACTCTATGCCTGACCCTACTCACAGGGTAGGGCCCACTCGCAGGACTACCAGGCTCCGCCCCAGCCTTCCCTCAGAACGAAGCAATGATACACGCTCATTGAAAGAAGACAGTGGGCTCTTCGGGGTGCTGGCTATGTAGGGTTTGTGTTTTTTTTTGTCTGTGTGGTGCATTTGCACATTTTCAATGTTGTCCTTGAAGTGTCTTTTGGCCTTAAATTTTTATTGAGGTCAGTCACACAGATACCAAACTCACAAACAAAAACCACCTACTGTATGGTTTCATTTAGAATAAATGTCTAGAAAGGGCAAATCTGTAGGGGCAGAATTTCTTGAGACCCGGGGAAGTGGAAGAGTGCTTGTTAAAGGGCATGAGATTCCTTTTGGGGGTTGATGGAAATGTTCTAGAATTGATGACGGCGCCGACTGCAAAACCCTGTGACCGAACTCAAACCTATTTTTCAACTGCCTGCCTTGTGGTTAGTCTGCTCCACGTGGAACCTATTACTTCACGGGAATTCCTGATAATTTGTGGTTTTAGGAGACTGCGCATGTTTCAAAAGGAGTGGGTTACTTGTTGGGCTGCTAACTGTAAGGGTCAGTGGTTCAAAACCACCAGCCACTCCCCGGGAGAGAGATGGGGCTCTCTACTCCCAGAAACTCACAGGGATAATTCTACCCTGTCTTATAGGGTCACTATGAGTCGACAGGGCAGTGAAAGGTTTTTTGGTTATTGTTTCAAAGGTGGCTTTTCTGGGCCAGAATCTTCTCAGAAACAAATCACAGGCAGGCCTGTTACTTCGGCTGGGTGAGTTCTCCCAGGGGCAATTGATCGATCTATCGGTTACAATCACTAGGATACTAGTGTCAACCATTAGTACCAATCAGGAACCTTCATCCTGAATGCCAGTGAATTTTAAACTTCAGGTGAGTGGAATTCTATCATATATGAATCACATCTCAATCAAACTGTGGTCCCCAAAAGAAAGGGTGTGGCATAGTGGGATGAGGATTTGGGGCAGTCCCAGGGGATTCGATTTTACCCCAATATCCCTCCCCCCAAATTACCAGGTTCTTGGCAGGCAAACCAACCCCTGCGTCTGATTCTCAGAGGCTCTTTTAACGGAGGAGGGGGAGTCGGAGGGGGGAGCAAGGTTTCCAAGTAGTCTTCTTCCAGATCTGAACTGTCTACGGATGGAATCGGGAGAAGAAGGTGGAGTGGAGGGCTGGTTCCCTGGGAATAGTCGGGGAAGGAGGGGCTGGAGACCCAGATTTTGGGGCAGTGGCGATGGAGGAAGTTCAGGGCCTGGATTCCCCAGTGGCACTGAGAGAGGGCAGGGCTTGGGAGCCAGGCATCTGGGTATAGGGCAGCAGTGGCCTGTGAGAGGAAGGGTGGTCGGCTGGATCGCTGACTCCTGCAGATTCGTGGGCTCCAGAGGGAGGGCAGATCTCGGCAGTTTCCGAGGGCTCCGTATTACCTGTTTCTGTCAGGAACACCAGGTTCTCCTTTCCACTGCTGTCTCCACCGCAACTCATAGTGCTGGTGCCTAGGGCACTCTGGTCTCCAGAGCTCAAAGGTGCCTCTGTAACATTTTCCTGAAGCAAGGAGTTCCTCCCGGGGCCTGGGAGGGCAAGCGGACAGGCGCATTAAAACCGGCTACAAATGCTGGCCCTCAGCCAATGAAAACAGACTCACTAGACTTCCAGCCCTTGTTCCTTGTTCATTCATCACCCAAGATCACCCCCCAGCACACCCCCAGGCCCCAGGATTCATCCGAAGGCTCAAACCAGCCCAGTCTTTGCTGGCAAATTGTGGTAGGCTAGCTTCATAAGCAATCGCCTGAGCAGCTTATATATGCTCTTCAGGACCCCATACACCAAATTACTAGGACTCCCCACCCCCTCTCCCACCCCTCTCTCAGGTCTTGCCTTCTCAAAACTCACTTTCTTTGAGTGTATTTCTATCCTAAGGACTTTTTAGAACCAGAGTAGAACTGTCCCTGTCAGTTTGAGACTGTAAATCTCTTTACCGGAGCAGAAAATCTCATTTTTTTCCGCGAGGAGCAGCGGGTGGGTTAGAACTGCTGACCTTGTGGTTTGCAAGCCAAAGCTTAACCCAACTCGCCACCAGGCCTTACACTCGTTCTGTCAGGCGCATCCAACAGGGCCACGGCGCCCCTGCAGGCCACGCCCCGGCTCGGCCGGGCCCCGCCCCAGGCACTACGCCGGTTCTCATGGACTCCGCCCCCAGCTCTGCAGAGGCCAATCACAACCTTCTGCTCAGCGCGCTCCGCCCCGAAGGCTGGTGACCCCGCCCCGCTTTGGCTGGTCCCCACCCTTAAACGGCCCCTTAGGCTTCTACTTGACTCCGCCCACAGTGCACCTGCAGGCCGCACCCTTTGGATGAATACAGGCCCCGCCCCCAGCCTCCAGACCCCGCCCTCTAGTCCTTCCCTTCACCGTTTTCACTGGGGATGCGATGCTTATCCTGACTTCTCGGTGGCCAGTGCTGCAGAAAGGCGTCCGGGTTGGCCTGAACCATGAGGTGTTCTTGGTGCTTCCGTCGTTGCTTCTTCTCAATTATTCGCCACTGCAGGGGTTAGCCCGGGGAGGGGTGGGGTAGGGGGAGGCGGGAAAGTGGCAGCACAGGAGTCAAGACCAGAAGGGAAGGCTGGGGGGTAGTGGGGCCTGGGGCAAGGGGAGGCCTGCATCGGTGGAAGGCTCCTCCCACCGATCCTGGAGTCGGTCCCCATCTCTCCTTCCTCAGACCCAAGACCCTAAGGAACCTGTATTTCTTAAAAACGTTTGAGGCTCATCGCCAGAATTTGCTTAGCCTTCCAGATTCTTACTGTTTTCACTTCCAAATCTTGGGATGGGGAGCCTGTGCAGGTGGGGGGATGGGAGGGCGATGGAAGAGTCCAGGCTGGTTCCTGGGGCCACAGTACCTGCTGCTCCAGTTTCTGCATCCTCATGATGGCGAGCTCATCGCCAAGGCCCCTGAGAGAGAGGGACCCTTGTAGTGACAGTAAGTAGGACATCTCTGTTGCCCAAGAACCTGTCTCTCCCACCTTCCCAGAGGTTCAACTTAGGGTTCTGAAAATGTGTGAGGTCACACACGATATGGAATCTCCGGGGCTGCCCTGCTCTGTCAGTTCGTAGAACCATCTAGAATTCAGGGGTCAGCAATTCCAGACATGTTGCATCCAAGAGTCTAGTGCCCCCCACCCCACCCCCCTGCCTCCATCCCTCAGGAGTCTAACCCCCAAACCCTCTTCCTGTCAGCTTGATGGGACTAAACATTGCAAACAAGAGCTGTGGGTCTGAGCTCACCATACATTTCCATCCCCCGCCTCCTATCCCATTCCCTACTCACTCTTTTTTCCAGGTATGGTTCTCCCGAGACATTCTGGAGAAGCAAGCATTAGTCAGAATTCAGGCCCAACACTCATGAATTCTACTTTCCAGCCCCTCATCCTAAGGCTTAGACCTCCTGAACTCATGAAGTCCCTGGCCACGGAGCTTTGTAGCGACTCATAGGACTGAGCAGAACGGTCTCCTAGGGAGCAGACTACCACATCTTTCTGCTGAGGAGGGTAGTGGCTGGTGAACCACTGACCTTCCCATTTAGCATCAAGCATTTAATGGCTGTGCATCCAGGCCTCCTCCTCCTGGACTCAGACCACCAATCCTGTTAGGGACCCAGAAACCCAGTTCTAGTTTTTATCACGACGAGGAGTCCCAGAGGCCTGTTCCTGCTCATCTTAAAGTACTGAATTCTCTCTCATCCCATAATCCAATCTCTGGCTCTCAAAGGCCCAAGCACGGGAACTCTGGCCTCTGGCCTCCAAACACCTGACCCCCAGGCCCTCTAGACCCCAGCACCCACCTGCCTGGGATCCTGAAGATGCTTTCTCAACTGCTCACATTCATACCTCCCTGAATTGCTTCAATGGCCTATCTTGAAACTCACCAGACCTTCTTGTTGAGAACGGAGGATCTAATCTACGGTAAATAGGCAGGGAAAGACAAGAGGGTTCAGAGGGAGAAGATTCTCACTGTGACTTACCCAGACCCTATCTTTCTCGACCCCCAGGCTCCACCTCCCACAAGCAATAAACTATCACCGCCCCCCACCACGGCACTGAAGTAGCCAGGCAACCCTACTCCAGGCGTTCTGAATTGGAACAGGGTGAGGATCTTCCTTAAAGGGCTCTAAGAACGGCCCCCCAGTAGTCTCGCTTTCACGTGGCACAACTTATAAACGTGGGCTGTGCAATTGCTTCGGAGCTGTAACTTACGTTGCAGAGGGCGCTAAGGCATGGGGAAACTACAACTCCCATGAGGCAAGGGGGCAAAGATGTCCTCCGAGGTTGGCTCACTTCTCTCCAGGCCTGCAGGGAGTTGTAGTTCAAGCGTCTTCGCGCTCCCTCTTCTCCCCGTCAAAAGACAGAAGATGTGGCGCCAGAGAAGCCAGACGTACGAGAAAGAGACCGCACGACTTCCGAGAAAAGGCGAGCTACTTCGGCGGGAGGTGAGGCTGCAGAAGCGGAGGAACAGGCCCGAAGCCTAGCCCCAGAATGGACCAATCAGCATCTAGGGGCGGTGCTTGCAGGGAAAGCGGGCGTGGCTTAGAGGGGAAATTGCCGAGAACGCACCGGAGGTCCTAGCCGGGGAAAACGCCTTCTGCGGTGCGTGAGAGGTGAGGGGTCTGGGCATCCCGACTCCTGGGTCCTGGGGCTGTGGGAGGCAGAGGACCTCGAGCACTGGAAAGCTGGGTCCTGGAGGAGGGCGGCTGAGCGCCCGAACTTCTGGGAAAGGAGGAGGCTAGGTGCTTGGACTCTTGGATCTGGGGGAGATGAGGGGGATCTTAGTCCCAGAATCTGGGGTGCTGCGTACCTAGACTCCTGGATCTAGGTAAGATAAGACTGGCTAGGGTTCCGGAATACTGGGTCCTGGTGGGGTGGGGTAGTAGACGCTTTGACTTTGGATAGTGGTGGGGTGGCGGGGTTGGGGGTTCACAGTCTGGGTCTTGGGAAGGAGGGAGCTTGGGTGATTCGACGGTTTCACTAGCACTGCCTTGCAGACCACGCCGCCATGCCTCCCGCCGGGCCCCGCGCTGCCCTCCTGCCGCCGCTGCTGCTCCTGCTGCTGCGCACTGCCCTGGCCGTGCCCTTGGAGCGGGGGGCGGCCCAGAAGGACAGCCCCGCGACTGAGAGCCCCGTGAGTCGCCCCGCCCTGCTCTCCAGCCAGGTGTCTGATGTGGTCCTACGATTCCCGCGGACCCCCGTGGCCCCTGGGGTGGGGAGGTGGGTCCTGGATCCGTCGGCGACGACTTCCTGGTCCCAGGGGCTGACTGATGCGGCGTGGACTTTGGCGGTCATTCATAGGAGACTGCGGGAGTTGACAGGACAGTGGTGCTGAACTGGGGAGGGGACCTAGCTCCACGTCCCCGACTGTGGACACTGGTCAGATTTTTTTTTCCAAGTGAAAAGTCTTTTTAATTTCACCCAGCCCACCCTCTGTCCCGCCCCCCGCTTCCATCCCAAAAGAATATGGAAAAACAAAACAAAACTGCAGTTCCCAGAAGTGGCGGCAGGTGATGCCGGTCAGGTCAGCAGGAGGTGTTGACCCGGGTGGAGCTTGTCGGAGGTGATTCCGTGGAATCACTGATGACGAAGGCTCACGTGAAAGGCGTTTGTTCATTGCCACACAGGTTTATTAAACCCTGTGGAATCTTCGACTCGGGGCGGTTGAGGTTTCAAGATCCAATACCCCGATGTTTGGTCTGAATCATCATCCCACGACTCCCCCTTGCTTTGGGGTCTCCTGTGTTGCCGAGCGCCACTGGGTGAACTCCTAGTGACCTCACAGGGCAGAACAGAACTGCCAAGGGTATTCCAGACCATCTTTACAGATGGCAGATGGCCAGGTCTTTATTAAGAGGAGCTGCAGGGGGAAGGGTGTGTGTGTGTGAAGGGGGAGGGGCAGGGGGAGTGTTCAAGGGGCCTGGGTGTGTGGCCAGCAGCTAAGCATTTAGGCATTGTCCCTCCAGGCCTCCCTAGGTACAGACAACAGATCACATCGGGCAGGTTCCCATCAAGTGTGGGAGTTCTGTGCTCCTAATTCTTGCAAACATCCAAGGGCAACATGAACTGGAAGAAAAGAAGAAAAAAAACACCAAACTCCCTGCCCATTGAGTTTATTCTGACTCATGATGTCTCTGCCCGACGGGGCCACTATGTGTTGAAAAGGGCCTCCGTGGAAGTGCGTTTGGATTTTCCTTTTGATCGGCTTTAACCTACAACCGGTAGAAGGTGTTGGTGCCATCCAATTTATTTCCACTCAGAACAAACCCAAGTGACCCAGTAGAACAGTTCCATACGACTCGGTGGGTTTGCTCGAACTGCTGACCTTTGGGTTAGGGGCCAGGCGCCTCACTCACCCCAATGCCATTAAGTCTTCTTATAGAAATAATCCTACTGATGTTGGGTCCACTCTGACTTAAAGCAGCCCATCGGACTGCCCCAGAGGGTTTCCCAGGCTACAGTCCGGAGCTGGCCCGCCACATCTTTCTCCCAAGGATGGTGGGCTGGAACCACCAACCTTTTGCCCAGCAGCCGAGCCCCTTAGAGAAAATAACACCACCACCCCCTGCCACCGAACATGTTCCAACCTGCTCTCGGGCAATGGTTTTTGGTTTGGGATTTGTGTGTTGCAGCGTAGGGTGGGGGGAGTTGAAGGGGTGTCAGCTTGGCTTCTGTGGTTTTCATTTCATCTCTTCTACAGAGATGTGGCCATGTGCTTGCATAATGATTTACACTGTACATTTACACAGGGCTCCTCAAACTTTTTAAACGGGGCCAGTTCCCTGTCCCTCAGACCCGTTGGAGGTTCACTGTCCCTCAGACCCGTTGGAGGGCTGGACTATAGTTAAAAAAACAAACTATGAACAAATGCCTATGCACACTGCACATATCTTATTTTGAAGTTGAAAAAAACCAAAATGGACAAAAACACCCAGCGGGCCAGATAAATGTCCTTGGTGGGCCGCATGTGGCCCGTGGGCCGTAGGTTGAGGACCCCTGATTTACAGGCTCTGAGACCCCAAGGAGCAGTTGTACTCTGCCCTAAGAGGGCCAGTGGGTTTGGTTTTTGACACCCGTGGGAAGAAGGTGGGTGGACGTCGTGGACCCCGAGGGTTAGCCAACCTGCGAGGGCGTCACATAGCACAATGGGACCCTCAGTGGCCACCACCTGGGAACAGGGCTGACACTGCTTGTGGGAAGACCTGGGAGAGGGGCAGAGCTGAGGCTGTTATCTGTATCTGCCCTTGACACCTTAGGACACCGGCTTGTATTACCACCGGTACCTCCAAGAGGTCATCAACGTGCTTGAGACCGATGGGCACTTCCGGGAGAAGCTGCAGGCCGCCAATGCCGAGGACATCAAGGTGGGCCGGGAGGCCGGGTGGGGTGAGGCGGGAGGGCAGAGGCTGGGAGAGCTCTGGGCTCCTACAGGAGCCACAGGTATCCAGCCATGCTAGCTCTCTCTGTCCCAGAAGGCTTCTGGGGAGAGGCCTTGGGGCTGGAGAATGTGGTAAATGGGGACCTGGGACAGTCAGGTGTTGGCTCCTGTCCCTTGCTGGCAGTGCCACCGGGGTCAGTTGCCTTGAACCTTTCCGTGCCTCAGTTTCCCTAGCTGTAAAATGGCCTCTCAAGAGTTCGGGCTAGGATCATCTGAGGTAACAAGTGGAGTTAGTAGCAGTGTCCTGTTGCTTAAATTTTGCAGTTAAAATGCAGACTTGAACATAGAGTGTCTGCACGCGCGTTGCCACCAACACTCATGTGAAGTCCCCCAAATTAGGGGAGACTTAGAGGTAGGGCAGAGACTCAGGCCCTGGATACTGTGTCTGCCTCCCTCCCATCCTCCCATGGCCCCAAAGTATCACTCCAGGGCTGCCTTAGTCCAAAGCCATTCCCTATCCAGCAAGCAGGCACCCCCGCCCCACCCTCCGTCACCCTCCCTGGGCATGACAGTAGCTCCGGTGGCCTAAGATGTTACTTGTAACGTTAATCAGGGCTGCCCCTACACAAGCTTCTGCATCCCTGCTCCTAGGGATAGTCAAGGGTGGGGTCCCCTCACCTCCAAACTTCCCTACATCCTTAGGGTTCTTCTCTATCTGGGCCCAGCCCGTTCCATCTGCCAGGCTGGACACGGTTCCTGAAGGTCTCTCCAGCCCCTCCTATGGCTGTGTGCGCAGGCAGGTGTCCCTGTCTCCCCCCCCAATCCCCACCCCTTGCTAGGCGTCACCCTTGAGTTCCACAAGCCCAAGCCCTTTTGGGCCACGCCCCCTCTGTTCTTCCAAGCCCCGCCTCTGCTCCCTTATCACCAATCAGTTCCAGAATTCTAGGAGGCTCTCCTTACTCCACCCTTTCAAGGTAGCCCTGCCCCTCTCAGGCTCCGCCCCCAGCATGCCAAGCCCCGCCCCTGGGCTCTTTTCACCTGACTGAGAAAGAACCTTAAAGCCTGAGTCCAGCCCCTCCCACTTCCCAGCCGGGGGCACCGAGGCCAGCTTACCCAAGATCTTACACCTGCCAAGCGATGGGTTAATCAGACCCAGCCTGGAGTGCTCTGAGCTGGGTCCTCTTGCCTTAGTTTCCATAAGTGTGACTCCTGCAGCGTCGTGGTAGGAATTAGCCCTCTTGTACCCGGCCTGGCGCTGCCTAAGGCGGCAGCGAATTGCCAGCCTTATTCTGAGATCCAGAGCTGGAAGTGGGTATACTGCCTACACCGGGATTTGAACCCCAGCCCCTGAACCTCCACCGTGAGACGACACTACATCGTTAGTAAAAAGCACCAGCCTGGTCAGGGTGTCAGTCTGGGTAGACTAGAGAAACAAATCCATAGACGCGCAGGTGTATAAGAAAGGGGTTTATATACAAGAGCAATTGAATATTGAGAAAACAGCCCAGCCCAGCCAAGGTGAAGTCCCTAATTCTGATAGGAGCTCCTATGCCCCATCCCAATCTATAAATTGTTCTTCAGACTCATACACCACATACAATGATGCAGAATGCAGGAAGATCACAGGCCAGTGGGTGGGAAGTCTTGTGGATCCAGTGGCGGTGGAAGCATCTCAGCGCTGGTGTGGGTCCACGTGGCTCCTCCAGCTCAGGGCACTAGCGTAGCTCCATGTGTCTTGTCAGCTGCAATGTCTCCCAGGGACTCAGCATGTATCCCGCCTCCAGCAAGCTATTAATCTCCTTAGAGCCAAATGCAGTCATCGAGCTGCGACCTGATTGACAGGCTAGACTCCACCCCTTCGCAAGTAGATAACAGCTTATGTACCTACTACAGTCAGGAAACCACCTGGGGGTCATGAGCTGGGGAAGAAGGCAGGTGGACCCAGACCTGGGTATTAGCTTGCAGAAAGTTCTAGAAAGGGCAGAGCCAGGAGTGAGGGCAACATCCGGCCCCCCAACTTGACCAGTGCCACGTCTCTCCCCGGGCAGAGCGGGAAGCTGAGCCGGGAGCTGGACTTCGTCAGCCACAACGTCCGTACCAAGCTGGACGAGCTGAAGCGGCAGGAGGTGTCGCGGCTTCGGATGTTGCTGAAGGTCAAGATGGACGCCGAGCAGCAGGAGCCCAGTGAGCAGGGGGGACCGTGGGGGTGGAGTGGGGGGAAGCGGGCACGTCTTCACCTCCGGTAAAAGGTGCGTGCATGCAGCACACTAGTGACTCATTGGGGACTCTCATCGCCCAGGCAGGAGACAGGGCGAGTCCCCCAGCCTGCACCCCGCACTAGCTGCCACCGGCTTTTCAACAGAGGCATGTGTGTGGCTTGGCTGCTGCGCGATGATCTGGCGGCGTGAGTTAACCCCCAGGCTGCACCCCAGAAGTAGGTGGTGTCCAACCTGGACAACCCACCCCAAACTCACCGCCTTCGAGGTGATTCTGCCTCGCAGGGACACCTACAGGACAGGGTTCCCAAGACTGTCAGCCCTTACAACACAGGCAGCCTCCTTGCTCTCCTGCAGAGCGGCTGGTGGGTTTGAACCACCAACTTTCTGGTTAGCAGCCCAACACTTAACCCACTGCTCCACCAGGGCCCGTTGGTTATCAGTTATTCCAGTGAGGTCACCCGGAGTCATTGTTACCCTTGCTGGGGGTCAAGTCCATTACTGACGCGTTGTGACCCCTGTCTGACGGAGCAGCACAGCCCCATAGGGGTTTCTAGGCTGCCATCTTTATGGCCGGAGGTCTGGGGGTGCAGTGGTGATGCTCCGAGGTTATAGCTGCGAACCAGAAGGTCAGCTGTCTGAAACCCCACCCCCAGCCCCGCTGCTGGAGAAAGAAAGATTGACAGCCGTGGGAACCCCAAGGCAGGTCTCCACTGCCTGTGAGATGGCTGTTAGTTGAATTGGATCGACAGCAGTGGGTTTCACCAACCCTGTCACAGGGAACCAGCCTCCGACCACCGAAGGGCCAGTAGATGCCATTGTATGGCGAAAATAAGTAAAGATTATAGAAAGGCTAAGAAAGATAGGAGAGAGAGTAAGATAAAGGAGTCAGACATGGTTCATGGTAGCATGCTCACCTCAGCTCCTCTTGATGGTCCATGTGGAACTGGGAGAAGGGAGGGAGAACCTTGACTATCTTGGGACATTTGCAGGTAGACTTAAGACATGCATATTCAGTAGTTACATGCGTCACAAGGTGGGTGGTATTTACAGTAAGGTTCCTGAGCTCACAGGTAAGGAAACTTATACCTCCGTCGGGGGGAGGGGAGGAACGGGGCTGGCTGACATGGTGGGAAGAGAGATCAAAGGGATCATGCCTGATTCCATAGGGAGATGGCATCCACCCTGTGCTCACTTGAAGGCAGCATGGCTCTTAGGGGAGAATTGGTGGGAATGCTATTTAAAGCAGGATCATGTACTTGGACTTTACCTCTACCTTACCAAAGTGGATGCTTTCCTACCGTGGAATTCCAGCTTTCCAGACTCCCTCTGTGATACGTTAGGGAATCTAGTCCTCGTCCTATTTCCCTCCGTGTTCGTTTCCCACGCAGTACCATCTTCAAACCCCCATTTTCTAAACAAGAGTGTGTGGACAGGTACCGAGGGACTGGATCCCACCGGATTCCCAAGGGGACAAGTGCAACCTGTAACAGGCCGGGGGTGAAGGGGTGTCACGCCTGGCCTCCTCCACACTGCCCCCACCCCATTCCGCCCCTTGCCCTTTGCCCTTCTGTGCTCATTAGTCCTTGGCCGTTCTGTCCCACTGCCCACCGCAGTAGCGTGTGTACTGGTCTCTGGAGTGGATCTCAGCTCTCCCGGCCTAGCACTTCATTAAGCTGCACATCCTGGTTTGGGTGTCTTGCTTTGTTGATTCCATCCGTCCTGCGGGTCACTGTGCCCTGCCCTCCGGCCCTCCCTCTGCCCTCCATGGCCACTTGGGTCATGCTAGTCCCAAGCCCTAGGCTTGCACACGCTGTTTGAGGAGGCACCCTTCCAGAACATGTACTGTCCTCGAGTGGACTCGGACAGGCCCCACAGTCAAGAGTAGTCTTTTATCGACACCCGTCAGTTAACTCTTTGGAGCTCTGGTGACCCCATCAGGTCAGCGACAGGCTACTAACCTGCAACCTGGCACGTTGGACCCACCAGCTCCTCTGCTGCTGCAAAGGTGGGCAAAGCCTAACACTAAGAAAAAAATCAAATCTCTGCCATAAAATCCATTTCGGATGCCTCGTGACCTGATCACACAGAGTAGAACTGCCCCTAGGGGGTTTCCGAGACTGTAGATTTTTACCGGCGAGAAAGCCCCATCTCTTAACCTCGGAGAGACTGAGCTCGTGGAAGTAGCAGTCAAGAGGTACCATGGTGCCTGGCACTGGGCAGATCTGCTGCCCCAGACCTCTTTAAGGTATTGAAAAGCCAAGCGGGTTACTCTGAGGACGAAGGTTTGCCTGCCCCAAGCTGTGATGTTTTCAATCCCCTCTTTTTTTTTTATTTTTAACATTTTATTAGGGGCTCACACAACTGTTATCCCAATCCATACACACATCAATTGTGTAAAGCGCATTTGTACATCGTTTCTCAAAACATTTTCTCT